AAAAAAAACCTGGCTAACACCATCTTTAACTAAATAAACTGCTTCGGCAATGGTGTCTAATATTTGCTCAGTAGGCAATTGGGTATCACCAATACCGGGAGTGTCAATAATAAGATAATTGAGATTGTTTTCTTCAAATTCCTCAGTTTGGATTTCTTTTGTCTCACTGGCGCTGCTCGTGCTTTCTTTGAACTTATTTTCTATGCCAGTGATAACGTTAGCCAGAGTAGACTTGCCACGACCTGTCCGGCCAATAAGGAGAATGGTTTTAAATTTTTCGGTGTTTGTTTCCTGATTGAATGGTTTAGTATTTCTTTCTTTTCGATTTTTATTAAAAATTTTTTTTATACTTTTCATTTGGATTATTTTTGTGCATTATGTTCTATTACTGCCCTAAGTTCACTAATTTTCGATAATTCTGATTCGAGTTTAATTTTTATTGCTGCAATTGCTTCACTCTTGGCTTTTTCCACTTCTTCTTGCTCTGTTAGACTGTTGCTCTGCTTTATTTCTTCTTCTTTTTTAACATAATTTGCTACTATGGAGTATATATTATCCCACTCCCTTAACTTATAAACATCACTGCAATTTTCTAGATGATTTAGCACCCTTTCTCGTGATTCCTTTCGCTTTTTTTCACTTCTGGAAATTTTTCCTTTTTTATCCTCTATTTCTCCTTCGCTGTCTTCCTCGTCTATTGTAGGCATTGGGGGATTATCGATATGGATAATGTCTTTGCATGATTTAATTATTTCGTTAACTTCGATATTTTGATTAAGCAAAACTTGGCGATCATTTTTGCATTCTTGCTGATTTCGGAAATTGACAAAATTAGTTCGGACCAAAGTAGTGAATTCGGTAATTCCACTTTCCGAAATAAGCTCTTTAAATAAAGTAAAATTCCGTACTTGTTCCGGAGAAAATTTATCTTTAAAAACAAAAATAACCTGATTTATTCCTTCTTTTGCTAAGTAGATACCCTTTCCTATTTCGTATAAAATAACTTCTTCGGCTAGTTCGCTTCTATTATCTCCAAATCCAATATTATCAATTACATAATAATTTGTTCCTTGTCATTCGAAATTACTTGTTTGAAAATTCCTGGTTTCACTGGTGCCACCTTCGCTTTCTTTAAAGATTTCTTTATTAACCAAAACGTTAGCCAGAGTAGACTTGCCGCTTCCTGTTATTCCAATTATTAATACATTTCTTTTGTTTACCATATTTCCGTTTTCTATAGTATTTTCTGATGTTTCTAAGTTTTGTTGATTTTCTTCATTATTCACTAGTTCAGCATCTGATTCTGTTTCTCCTCTGTTCTTTCTGCTACCTAAGCAGAAGCAGTTAGCATATTCCAATATTTTTTCTTTTAGACTCTTCATATTTTTTACTTTTTCTTTATTTGCTATATTTTCTCAGTATAAAAAGTTAAAGTTATTAACTCGAATCTACCGAGTAAAGAAAAGTCCAGAAAATCAAAAAAATATTCTCCTCCTTTCAATATTTACTAAGAAGATAAAATTTCCTGACTATGGGACTAAAATATCCCCTAAAAGAATTATTTTTAAGAGGATTAGAGACTAATTTTGCTCTCTCTCTCTCTCTCTCTCTCTCTGGTTTACAGCAAGAGAATAATTGAGAATTATTTCTTTTAAGGAATATTTTCTTTGCCATGTCATATATATTATATTTTTAGCCTCTATATAGATGCTGTATTTAGATAAA